ATATACACAAATCGAATATAAGGCCAATATTAGGCCAATAATCAATTGGTAAAGCAAAGTACAAATCCATGATAACAGAATAAAAATATTGGTTGATTTGGAGCACATAATTAAAAACATGAAAATAAAAAGAGAGAAAAGCTTAGTACCTCACTAACACTTGAAACCCTAAAAACAAGAGTAAGGTTAAGAAAACACATGTAGGTTAGTGGGATGTCCTAAGTGTAGTAAACAATAAGATGGTGCACTTAAAGGTCTGACTCTATAATCCAAATTTTGAGGATAAAATTTAATTAAGGGTAGAATGTAACATTTTTCTAAATTAAGATTTTATAATAATAATAATAATAATAATAATAATAATAATAATAATAATAATAATAATAACATGATGTTTTAAAATAAGATGGACTTAGATGATTATTTGGAGTTAGTTTAAAGGTGATGATTTTTTAAAAATAAAATGGGCCTATAGGGCCTAATAAAACAAAGTTATGTTTATAAATCCTACTGCATACATTAGTCACACATTCTCACTCTTCTTCCATGTGACCTAAAATGATAGAGAAAAGGAAGGGAGCCAATTTGGAGAAGGAGAATGAAATCACTTACACTAGGATGATTCTTAGGACTCACATCTTCGTATGAGTGCAACCCCTTTCATGTTTCCCTTCCCCATAATTGTTTGAGTAGACATTCCCTAGTTAATATGAACTTTCATTCTTTATAATTATATTGTTTAATTGAATCATTAATTGTAATTTATAATTGTAATCATTAATTGAATATTTGTTCATGATCCGTTGAAGTTTTAATGGAATTTAAGAATATGTCATGTTATTATTTAAAAAGATTTTTATATGTGAATTCATGATATTGTAAATTTGAAGATTTGGATAGTTATATTGATGTTATAATATGAATGTGAAGTATACAAAATAATTATAATATTGATGTTATAATCCTTTCAAACCAAATTTTTGGTTTTTCCCTTATATGTATAGATGTAGAAAGTGTCTCCTTTGGACAAGAAAGGATAATAATCCTTTTGAATTCTAAAAGGATGGTAAAAGATAAGACTTAATACTACTCTGTTAATACTACTCTGGACAAGGGAAAAATATTTATCTCTTTTAAATCTCCAAAGATTTGTATATGACATTTCTTGATGAGGAAAGGGTGGTAATTAAATGTATTGAATCCTCAAGTGTATGACCAAAGCAAGGAGAATGCTCATTGAGATTTTGAGTTCAAATTTGACCATTTGGATGAAAAATACAAGGTTTAAAGACACTTTACAATGTTTATTAAACTTATTGCTTCAAATTTACATTGTTAATTATTGAAGTTTATTTATCACATTATCTTATGTGCTTTATTTGTCATTTATCCCTAAAACACTCACTAAGATAAAAACTTTATTAGTTTAATTTTAAATGTCAAATAGCATATAACTTGAAAACTTCTTCTATAAACACTTCTAAAAGAAATAGAAAGAAAAAAAATAAAATAATTTATGTATAAGTTAATTTGTATATAATTTCTTCAAAACATTGAAAAATTTGTTTGTACATAAATTAGGCTTATAAAGAACTTTTTTTTATTTTTTTCATTTTTGTCTGTTAAAAGTGTGTTTTTTGAGAAATTTGTCGCAATATTTTAAAAGTAGCGACTTTCTCTTGTTGCACATTATTGACTTACCGTTACGGCTATACCTTTTCATCCCTCTCGATCAATCTCCTTACTTCCATTTGAGGTCTCAACTTGTCTTTGGTTTGAACAAGATAAAATTTGCCTAGTTAACTAAAATTGACATGTTTGTTTTCTATGACCCAAAAGGATAAAAAAAATGTGTTCTGTTTTTTTATTTATTATACAAACGATTTATGCAATGAGGTATTATGCTCAGCTAAGTTGGCTGACTATTGTATGTGATTTAATGTAATTTTTTAATATTAAATTCAGTTTTCATAGATAAAAGAAAAATAAAAATTCTATACAAACTAACAAACAATGTGTTTCGTTATACATCAAACATTAACCCATGCAAGAATGTACTTACTACCTCAAATTCTAGGTATAAAAAACAGATATCAAGATAATAAGGATAGTTAAATTATTTAGTTAATTTCAATTGTGTTATAAATTTAAATATAAATTTAAAGGTATTCATAAAATCAAGTAGTTTAAATAATAACTATATTTAATGATTATATGTAATTTAAGCAATAGCTTGTTCAATGTGATTTATTATACCAAAAATCATTAGGTCAAGTGATTTGGTATTTAGACTCTTTAACCAAAGATTAAAATTGGATCCTTACCTTAACATGAAGTTGTGACTAAAGATATCATTTTATTCTTCTACATCTTAAGAGTTGATCTGGTGTGCAAAATTGTGATTTATTGTTAATACTATAAATCCATTAACTTTCATGAGAAATTAATGAATGACTCGTTAACAAATAATCTATTAAAGGTATAAAAAAAATTAATATTCAACAGATTTAGAATTGACTATATGTTATTAAAAAAAAAAAAGTCTATGTTATGTACAATTGAGTAAAAATGATACTCTCGTTTATTCCTTATATAAAACAATACAATTAGTATCTTAAACAGAAAAAACCTAATCATTATCAAAGTTTTAACTAATCAAAATGTAGTGGTTTAAATAACGTGAGTATAAAAACGTGATTAGGATGAAAATTCTATTAGATAAAAACTAATCACTAATTAAGCTAAAAAAAAAAGACATTGTATTAATAATACTGTAAGAAAAAGAAAAGAAGCAACATATATTGTGAGTGATGAATAAGATCCAAAGGAAAATAATGATGGCCAGCAGAAAAGTAAAGAAAGTAGCATAACAGCAAGTTTCTTAAAATCAATACGAGGACAGGGCCTTTTACTTTTATAATTTTGGTACAGAAGTAGGACCTTTACTTCATCATTTTTGTACAACACAAGGGACGGTGCTTACAATTTGAAGCAACTCAGCAAACCGAACTTTCGGCCCACGAGGAAAGTCTTCAAATGGGCTGGGGCATACAGAGGACACAGCTGAGAGGGACACAACTACACTTTTTCATACGTACAAAAATATTGACTTCATAAGGAAAAAGGAAAAGTTAAACCAATAATATTAACCAAATTAAACTTTATTTTCGACTCACTATGAAATTACTAGTTTACTTTTCTTTTTAAATTTTATTTACAAAATTCTTACTTTATTGTTATAATTTAATGATCATACACTGTCGGTTAAAAAGTTTTGTACTGTCAATTAATCAAAAATCATCACTGAAATAATTTTTAAGATAGTTATTATAAAAGTCAACAAATTTATTAGTGTTTTATGATTAAATAATGGAATATAACTGTTTACAATGTTAATAAAAACTTATTTTTACTTATTTTTAGTCTATTTTCTAAAATTTGTAAAGGAAGTAAAAGTATTTTATTATTATTATTATTGATTCCTATACAAATCTTTGATAATAAAAATAAAAACAAAAAAAGTACACTTACCCGTAAATTTTATGAGGTAAGTGGACTCCATTTCTTAACGACGGTGATCATTTTGTTTCCATATATATGTCAATAAATCTAACCAAACAATATTCCATAAACTTATATTATTCTACTAAGGTGTAATTTATTTGTGAATAATTTTGACTCTTCTCAAATTATCTTTCTATGCAACATTTTATTAAATAAAAAAAATGTAAGGATGTATAATTCATCTATTTGGAAAATTATGATACCCTCTAAAAAAAATTAAGAAAAATTGAGATCTGAATATTCCAAAGTGAGAAATTCATTTTAAAAAATAAAGTAATCAATCTCAATCATCGATAAGAAAATTAATGATGAACGTTACATATATACACAACAAAATTATGAATTTATTGAAATACCAACTATTACTTTTTTCATCAATGATTAGTATTACTCACCTTATCCTTACTCATTTTAGACAAGTCAAATTCAAATAACCCTGGCATGATAACAACTGAGGACAGAGGATTCAGTTTATTTTTTCTCCTGTCAATGACAAAATTCAGTGTAAATTCATAAATCATAACACAGGTAGGACCATTTGGGCTTTTACTTTTTCATATTATCTACAAACACAAGGGACGTTTCTTACAATATCATATATATGATCAGTGAACCGAAGTTCGGCCCACAAAAAAAGTGTTCAAATGGGCCACAGATGGACAGAACTAGACCTTTTGATACGTACTAACAAAAAGACTCACAAAGCACTGCTCAAAAGGAAAAGTTAACAACCAGTGCTTGTTTGTTTATGTTTTTCTTTCAGAAATATATTTTCAACCAATGTCGGTTTATAAGCTCATTTTTTTTCATCATCAAATTCCGAGTGGAATTGGACTCAATTTCTTTTGGAGAAATCTCATGTTACAATTTTATGGATGAAAAAACAAATAACTAGGTGGAGAGAAGAGACCTGTTAAAGGTAATCAGTCGAATTGATATATATATAAATACTTCTTATGGTTAGAAAAAAAAAATCTTTGTTATTATTATTTCAGTATAAATCAATAAAAACATGTACAACTTTGTGCACAAACACAGACTCAATTTATTCAGTTTTGGGGTAAAGTAGTGAGAAAAAGGAGAATATTAATAGAAATGCTAGTTAAAAATGTTCAACAAATAAAGGTAGAAAATGACATTTGGTTTGTTTTTGTACTTAAGTGAAATGATGGATGGAGCAGTTTTATCATTATTTATATATATTTTTTAGAATATCTTGTTTTAAGACTATTGATCAGTAATATAGTCAAAATTAATAGTAAATATGTAAAAAAATAATCATTAATTCACAAGTTATTTTGTAAAATTGAGTTAAACTTAAATTTATTTTTTTTAAAATGATATGAACATTTATAGTAGCGTTAATGAAGAAGAAGAAGAAAGGTGAGTTGATAATTAATGAGTTAACGAAAAAGTTTGAAAGTAAGATGATTGAATGAATGAAGAATGGTGTGAAAAATAGTTTGCATTTGTTAACTTGAAGCTCAACGTACATGTAAGTCTTCTTCTCTCGGGTACAGATATGATGAGAAGGATGTTATGATGGATGTTCTGGCACAAAACTTGACCCACCTGTCCAATATCAGCATTCCCAAATGGGTCCTATTTCGCCTAACTATAACCCATGGTCCATGCCCTGAAAGAGCCATTCTAGTTTTTTCATAGTGTTGTATACCTTGCACCGAAAATGACATCAAAGACAATGCCTGAATTTCCTTGGACTGAAGCATATGTTTTCTAGCTAAGGTTTATCCCATTCCCCATCTCTCTCCCCAGACACAACTAAAATCATTCACATGGAATAATTCTAATTCCTCATCTCTTTCTCTCCACACATATATAGTACGCATTTTAAATTTTTTTTTTTTTTATACGTAGGAATTGAACTCGGTACTACAAAGAGTTACAACAATTAAGATACCCTACTCAACCAATCGAACTAGACCCTTTTAACATACGAGAAGGAAAGGGGTTGGTTGGTCTTTGTTTATTTAATTTAACACTTGAGAAGAGTTAATAACTCTGATCTTGATGATGATTCCGCGTGGTCTTTTTGCCAATTGGGCCTTCCTAGGGTGAATTCAAGGTCAAGCATTGGCATTGCCTCGGAACGTGACAAAGGGTTAGATTCCAACTCCTTCATGCAATTTGATGACATGCCTCCATAACTGTGCCCATCAACCTGCAGTTTAAAAATTATTACCCTAGTGACATAAGCCATACAGAATATTTATAATACCATGCAACAAAACTACATGCCACATGCTACATCCATTTGCATGCGTCCCAACTTACCATAATTTCGTTTCCCTTCACCTCAGAATACGTCAAACCCATTTCCGATTCTTGTCTACTATTGTTTGTATTTGTCTCTATTGATGATTGCCACGGTGTCCTGAAAAGTGAAAGAATAAAAAATTAATTAATAATATATATATATATATAATAATTA